GCCTAGAGACCATAAGCCTCCTGCAGACCATATCCCTACAGAGCAAAAACCCTACCATTAGAAACGAGCCTCCGAACGATATCAATGATCTCGGTGAGAGAGAGAAAGAGAAAGAAACACATAACGACGTCATGCAAGGGGATCCGTGTCATCCGTGAGGAAACGAGAGAGTTTGGCAAAAGGTTTGCCTCTTCTTTGAAGATCGAGTTGGGGAACATGCTCCGCTATTCTCAAACACTGCTAGAATCTCATCACCGTGATTAAACTCTCTACTAGCAGCTACACCACTTTGGATACCAAATCCGAAGGACCTCAGATGGCGTATCGCCTGAAGAGTTGGACAGTCAACGCCGTGATGCTTCAATACGTGAACAAAGGCATCCAGAAACCGGCGAACAAGTACGCCTAGCGACATAGACCGGATTAAGAAGCCTCTTTGGACGCATACGTTAATACATATTCAAGCATCACAGCAAACCAGGTGCACTGTTCAGCTGTCCGTTTAGCGCCCCAACCACTTATCCTGGCACACGAATTCGACTAAGGATCCGACAACAGCGTCGCTTAAGCTAACACCCCTTAATTTCAAGCCAGGCACAAGTTGAGGCACTAAACTTTAAGATCGAGTACCAATGCATCTCAGCGCGTTTTTCAGTCTAGGGTGCATGCCCCAAACCTTCGCATAAACAGCATCCGGAATGTTAGTTTTTGAAGCCACAGCTAATCTGAACTTCTTCGGCTACACCAACACGACGATTGTAGCAGTTTTGGCACTTTCCGCGAACTCTGAACTTGGGAGGGCACGCGCACGACGTAGTAAGCCTGCGAGCACGACTGGGTTCGCACTGCTCAGTTTCGAAACTACAAGAGAAGAGCTCTTTCCGAGAGATGAGAGTAGCACCTAAACCCTAAACCCTAAACCCTAAGCCCTGAACCCTGAACCCTGAACCCTGAACCCTAAACCCTAAGCCCTAAGCCCTAAGCCCTAAACCCTAAGCCCTAAACCCTAAACCCTAAGAGTTGGATTGTCGGGTGGCGACAAAAAAAAGAGGCGATCCGGCTTGCTGGCCACGGCGCGGCGGGAGCCGAGCTCAACAAGTTGGCGCAGACGGCCTTCGCTCACCAGGCCATGTTTTGGCATTAGGGTTTAGGGTTTAGGGTTTAGGGTTAGGGTTTAGGGTTTAGGGTTTAGGGTTAGGGACAACGTGCTAGGGTTCATAGGGTTCTTTCGGCTTGTAGGGCTTCATGGCTGTATGTGGGATTTAGGTTATAGATCGCGTTTGTGATGGTGAGAGTTTGAATAACCCTTAAACCCGTACACCCCCAATTAAACCCACGGCCATGTACCAACCGGGCGAGAAGACTTCAACCCAAAGCCATAAACCCTGAAACCCTGAGTCCCTAAAACCCAAAGCCCTTTTACTCCTAATCGCCAAAACCCTAAACCCATAAAACCCTAAATCCTTAACCCCTAAATCCCAAAAACCCTAACACCCCAAGCCTCTAAAGCCCTAAACCCCAAAACCCTACCTAAGCCCCCAAAACCCCTAAATCCTAAACCCCCAAAGCCTCAAGCAACCCCTTAAACCCTAAACAGCCCCTAAACCCCTAAAACCCCAAACCGTAAACAACCCCTCAAGACCCTAAAGCCTCTACAACCCAACACAGGGCTTAGGAAATCACAAAACTCTTAAAACCCTTAAAGCCCTAAACCCTTAAAACACTAAAACCCTAGACCCCTCAACCCCTCAACCCCTCAACCCCTAAACCCCTAAACCCCTAAACCCCTAAACCCCTAAACCCCTAAACCCCTAAACCCCTAAACCCCTAAACCCCTAAACCCCTAAACCCTAAACCCTAAACCCCTAAACCGGGTTTAGGCACTTGCGGGCTTCCGGCCCAGGATGGCCGTGTGGAGGAGGCTTGGGATGGCAGCGGCTGGGTGGGCTATGCGCAGGCCACATGCCCCCCTCCCCCCGTTTAGGGTTTAGGGTTATTGGGTTTAGGGTTTAGGGTTTAGGGTTTAGGCTCTCAGGGGTCTAGGTAAGGTATAGGGGTTTACATCGGGAGGTTGATGTAGAATTTATAGGTTGGGGGGGGACGGCGGGGAGGGGTTTCCTTTAGGGCCCCTATTCTGTTCCAGGAGGATTCTGTCTTTTTGCTTTGCTTTGTTTTGTTGGGGGGATTTAAGGGGAACTCTACTTCTTGGGAACTACATGCGTACAATATTATAAGTATAACATGTCTACATACACGTATATACATATACAGGCGTAAGTTGCGATTACTGTTTGGTGCGCCCTGCCTCCGACAGTCTACCATCCCTCCGACTTTCCTTGTCCATCGCGCAGAACGGAGGTCACTTACGCACAGGAGCCATGTGATGGACAGAAATCATAGTGGGGTAGCATGTTACTTATTCAAGGGTACCTAAACTCAATAAGGACTTGAAACTTAGTTTTTTTAATACTATCCCAACCATGAACTAGGTTAGTCGTAGGGTGTAATCCAGCGTTTGGGATCCCAAGTTTAAGGCTCGCGCGGATCAGGGCTTGGTGCACCCCCAGCTCTCAGATACGTGTCAGGGTTCAGGGATTAGACCGAACACGACCGAACCCCAGAGCCCCACCCTATACTTCCAGGGACCTATAGTAGTTAGGTTGCTGGAACCCCTTAAGGGCTCAATTATTAGGCCCCTGAAATGTAGTGTAGGGCCAAGTATACAAAGAATGCCCTACGTTGGGGTCTAAAGTCTGTTAATCGTACCCGCTTTGGGCTATTTGGAGCCTTACGGGAAAGGCTTCGTGTTTTACGACACTTTGGCGCAGGCAGAGGTTTCGCTGGCAGCGCCCCGCCCGGAAGCGCCGCGAACTTTGGCAGACCTGGTGCTCTTCCCCGCGTCTTCCCGGGGTTGAAGCTAGGTAGGTCCTGGGCAGATTCTGCTTTCTACGGTTGATTTTCTGTTTGGGAAGCGTTTCAACGCGAAGACCTCGAAGACGTGGTCAGGCCTCCCAAAACCCCAACCCTGAACCTTAACTTTGGGATCCTTGTGAATGCAACGGTTTCTCCTCTGACATACGCCACGCAATGCTGAGCTAGGCGGGTGACACGAAAATCAGGGGCCCTGGGCTCCTTGTCGTGCGGAAGTTGAGGGCAAACGAAGCAGGGTGATGGCGCCCCTTAGGTTAGGGCATGTTCCTTACATGGCTTAGGGTTTAGGGTTTAGGGCTTAGGGCTTAGGGCTTAGGGCTTAGGGCTTAGGGTTTAGGATATTTCCAAGTTGCTTGTTGCTCCGTGAAACATCCCTGATTAGGCCGTCTAAACCTTCTGCCCCGTCAAACTTACAGTCCCCAAAATCCAAGACCAAAGGGCCCTAAACCCTAAACAACACAAAAAGCCGTTTTGGGGACTATATCCCCTTTGGGAATCATTTTTTTATAAAGGTTCAAAATATTATTTTGATTAAGGTTCTAAGGGAAGCATAGGGGAGGGCATCGGGCAGCGCAGGTGCCGCAAGCCAGCGCCACTTCCGGTGGCAAGGCCCATGTATTCAGACACCCTTGCGGTTCGGGTTTCTTGGCTCTTGCAACATATGTAGCGTTTAGGGTTTAGGGTTTAGGGTTTAGGGTTTAGGGTTTAGGGTTTAGGGTTTGGGAGAAGCCAGAGGTGGTACTTCATTAATCTGAGAGCCGGGAAGCGCCTCCGTTTCGAGCTGGAGGCCACCCCAAAGCCTTTCAGACACAAAACAATCTTCAGCCAAGCGGGGAAACACTGCAGTTCGGCCTCTTGCCCACGCGAAGAGTGATAAGGGGTGAGTATTCGATCATCGCTATGTGCTTTTCACCCTCAAGCTGCGCCCAGCAAGGCTTGATGCTGGCAAATCCAAGGTTCCAAGCCCTCGCTCCTGCGAAGCCCCGGGACTATATCCCCCTTGAGAATAATTTTTTATTTCTGTTTATCTAAAACCCAGGAAGATATCAAAACCTAGATGAAGCAATCTTGTTGTTATTAAGGTTCTAAGGGGAGTATAGGAGAAGCCCGAATCGCGCTTTGACTTCCAGGCTCCCGCAGTCACCCGAAGATGGGGCCGCGCGGCACAGGCGGCTGCAGGAACGAAAAAGGATTCAGGGTGGCGGTGCGCTCCATGGCCTAACATTAACTGAACCCTGAACTCTAAGCCCTAACCCTAGACCCTAAACCCTAGACCCTAAACCTAGTGGACATGGCCTAAAATCACTTAAACTACCCCCTAGGGGCCCTAAACCCTAAACCCTAAACCCTAAACCTTTAAGGGGATTCGGGGACATTTGTAGAGTTCGAGGCTCGTGTGCCGTTTCGGGCAAAGCTCAGCACGCCTGTGGCATGCCTTGGCTTTGCAACAGTTTAGGGTTTAGGGTTTAGGGTTTAGGGTTTAGGGTTTAGGGTTGGATCAAAGATGCTAGTCGCGCGCTTGACGGCAGCTTTGCGACCTGTGAGTTGCCGGGCGTGGGAAAGGTTGTTACCTAAATTGTGCTTTCTAAGCCAACCCTAAACCCTAAAAAGGGTTTAGGGTTTAGGGTTTAGGGTTGTGCTCCGTGACTCACACACCTCTGTTGCCGGAGGTACTCGTCAGATTGATCGTGCTTGCGAGATTGCAGCCTCGGCATGAATGCGGCTGCATCGTGGCTCGAAACATCTCAAAACCGTGCATCATGGGTAGCGGAGGTAGCTTCATTGGATCAGCACACAACAGTTAGACGGGTGACAAGACAGCCGAACATGGAAGCATTCGAGATCCGTCCAGGTAGAACTGCTTCAGCCGCTTGATGCCCCATCGTTTGGAAAGTTTTGTGTTCCAGAAGCTTTGCCTTAAGAACCCTAAACCGGCTTTTTTGGTATCGGTTCGTATTCTATAACCCATTATAGGATTCTTAGATCACCTACCCTGCCCCTAAACCCCCAAGAACCCCCTAACAAAAAAGTAGGTCCCCATTGCGCGTCCATGTCATCTCAATGCTGCCATGCCATCGGCCACAGAGGAAGCAGATTTTCAAGTTTCGGCTGAGGGAGGGTTTAGGGTTTAGGGTTTAGGGTTTAGGGTTTAGAGATTAGGGTTTAGGCGTCACCTGTGCCGCTGGGGAATAAGGGCAAGGCGGGCAGTGGAGTCCTACTGCGAAAGGGTTTAGGATCCAGGGTTTAGGGCGTGCGGGACTTTGTGATATTGGACGCTTTGGGCCAATGACTAGTTAACGGGATTTTGCCATCACGTGCCGACTATTCCTCATGCTTCATTTTACATCTGCCCTTGGAGACACGAATTTTAGAAACCCCTAATCCCTACAATATTGGGGTCGGAATAAGTTCTAGTAGTATTCCCTTATGGCCCCTATATAAAAAACACTATAGTAACACCCAAAAACCTATTAACAGGCCCCTACATTAAACAAATGGCCCCTTTATAATTATATAAAAATACCCCCCCCACCCCACAAAAAAAGAAAAAAACTATTCTACCTCTTAAGGCCCTAGAAATAAACACTCGGCCAGGCTTCCCAGGCTCGCGAGCAGCAGGGCCAGCCCGAGGAGGACGGGCTACGCTAATATGTTGGGATGTTCCCCGTTGTACTAACAGTCCTTTGTGGGGGTTGTAGTACCCCCCGATTAAGGATTGTTAGATTCGGGGGAACATCCCAAAGCACATTGTAGAGTTTTGTCTCAAGGCATGCCCCCAGAGACGCCGTATTTGCATTGTTCCTTACTCATGGTCAGCTGTCACACGGTCAAGCTTGGGGGCAATGGCAGCTTCTCTCGACACTCCTGTCATTGTGCTAACCTCAAAGGACTCGACAACCCTAAACCCTAAACCCTAAACCCTTTGTCCGACGTTGCTTGGCCAATGTTGATAGCGCAGCCAACAACCCCCACCCCCGAAGGGATCAAGACTCGTACCCCTAAGGTAGTACCCCTTAAAGTTCCCTCAATGTACACCTTATATGGCCCTTAACATCCCTCTCTGAAAAAAAGGTGTCCCAAACCAGGGTACAACCTTAGTGGCTTAAGCTAGAACCCATGAACCCCACCTCCCGCCCTAAACTTAAAACCCTAGACCCTAGACCCTAAACCCTAAACCCTAAACCCCAAACCTAAACCCTAAACCCTAAACCCTAAACCCTAAACCCTAAACCCTAAACCCTAAACCCTAAACCCTAAACCCTAAACCCCAAGCTCATGTTCAAAGTGGGAGGTGTGGCTCCAGGAGGATGGCGACGGCGCAGGCTTCTTCTAAGTTCGCCCCTGTATCATGATTGCGCAAGCCCCTGCCGGTGATGGCAAGCAACTGCGCAAGAAGCAGCAGTACTTTGAAACCATATCATGTCATGTGTATATATATATACATACACATATTTCTGTGGATATATATGTATATATATATATAGAAAGAGTTCTACTATGCCTATGTTCGTTCATAGGATATGTATCTATCTATGTCCGACACAAACTCCATTGATTGTTGCATTTTGTGTTGCCTCTTGCCTTGAGGCTGGCAGTGGATGTGGGCAGATGCTTGCATCTATAACGATTATTGGGGCATTGGCCGGAAGCTTGCCTCCATTGACCCGTTGAGGCACGCAGGACGTGCAAGTTCGAGCGAAGCATTCAAGGGACAGCCCACCATGACGGTTTAGGGTTCAGGGTTTAGGGTTTAGGGTTTAGGGACGTGCCAAAACACACGTCTTTGCGTATGCATTCCGGTGTTGTCTAGTCTAGTCATTCTACTTGGAGGTTCATGGGTAGTTATAAGTAGGGTAATAAGTACCCTAGGTAAGGTTTCAAGTATAGTTACCCTACTTCTAACCACTTCTAGCTACCCATGAACCTCCAAGTAGCCGCAGGTGGAGTCCCAGAATGGACAGGGAGGTGCAGCACTTATTCGCCCTACGCTGCGGAACGGATTCTGACACATTGGAATGGGCATCTCAGGCCCTTCTCCAAGCTTTGGAGAACGAGAAGAAAAAGGGGGTGAAAAAGCCTGCTCTTGGCTCAGCTGGGCATTGCAAGGATCAGCTCTTCTTTTGGGGCTTGCCCCTCACCCTAAACCCGAAACCCTAAACCCTAAACCCTAAACCCTAAGCACGGAAAGGTCAACTTGGGGTGGCACAAACGTGGCAAGTGGAACAACGAAGGAAGGCCCGGCTGACATCGGTGCTTCGCACCCCAGGGTTTAGGGTTTAAGGGTTTAGGGTTTAGGGTTTAGGGTTTAGGGTTTAGGGTTCACCCCTTCGGAAGCAGATGGGTTTAGGGTTTATAGGGCCCCTTGATGTCACGTCCCTACTCTTTCTTTGCAGGCAGGGTTTAGGGTTTAGGGTTTAGGGTTTAGGTTTTAGGGTTTAGGGTGGTGGGTTTGAGGGGACTCCGGACAGGCTTCAGAGGTCCGTGTTAAAAACAGGGTTTAGGGTTTTGGGTTTTGGGTTTTGGGTTTAGGGATACGCAGCTAGCAAGGAGTCCAGTTGCGCAACAAGGTCACGCAGCTGGCAAAGCTGCTTTCTTCTGCTGCTCGGTGTTGCCGTGCCGCGTCCTCCAGCGTCAGGTTTGACAGCCCTGCGCACGCCATCATCTTCTTGGGGGAGCAGGTGCATACCTAGTGCTTTGTTTGTCTCCGGGGGCTCTATAGAGTTTAGGTTCTTGTGGATTCAAAAGGTGTCGACGCTGCTCGCGGTGGAAACGCTCGGAAGTGCACTTCAAGTGGCGAGAAATCATGAAGAGCAGAGCGAGAAGTAAGACAAGAAATCGGCATGTTCCGACATTGAGAGAGCTTTTACAACTCGGCTTCCCTGCTGCTGGTGTGTTGATTGATGCTTGCTGCTGTTGCAGTTGCTGTCGTTGTTGCAGCGGCAGCCGCCGCCGCTGCCGCTGCTGCAGCAGCTGCTTCATATTATTGTTATTCTTGTGATTGTGTTTGTGGTGGTTGTGCTAGTTGCGGTTGTCATTGTTATTGTTTATGTCCTTCTTATGGATACTGTTCTTGTTTATGGATATGATTGTTCTTCGCATTCTTGTGTTTCTTGTTGTTCTTATGTTTTTTTATTGTTTCTCTTGTTGTTGGTGTTGGCTTGGTAGTGGTGGTGATGGTGGGTCTGCTGCTGCTGTTGTCTCTGCTACTGATGCTGGGCCCACATGCATCCCAACTCCTAGTCTACTCCAAAGAACTTGGTCATAACCAGTTGTGTATCATTTTGCATTTTTAAGGGTACTTAAACCCAATAAGGAATGGCAAACTAGATTTTTAATATTATCCCAACCATGAACAAAAGAATTTCGATCTTGGCATCAGGCAGCGGACGAGCAGGAGACTTCTGTTGCTGGGTTCATTCCATGGCAGCGGGCTGGCACGATCTTGGCTGCTAAGACGCCATTGCTATGTTGCTGTGCCATGCCTTAAACCCTAAACCCTAAACCCTACTCCCTAGACCGTAAAACCTGGTCCCTAAGCCCTTTAGCCCTACTAGAGCTACTCGCGCGAGGAGCTGCAGCAGGCTCGGAAGCGACTCTCCCGCTTCCCGGAGTCTGAGGTGAAAGAGGCGCTAAAGGCTGGGAGTGCCCGTCAGTGCCACTGATGAGTTTAGCATGTAGAGTTTAGGGTCTCAGAGAGAGAGAGAGTAAGTGCAGCGGAAGGAAGGAAAGAAGAGAAAGTTTGAGTTGAGGTGCTAGTCTCTCGGCTTGACGGAAGGCTTGTGCAAACGATCCACAACTAGCCTGCCATCAGCTTCTCCAAGAATTGGCACCAGACCTGCGTCATCAGAGTGAGAAATGGCCCGGCGCCCAGACCCATCCGAGAAAAAGCGTCCCAGACACGTGGCTTAGGATTTAGGGTTTAGGGTTTGGGGTTTGGGTTTAGGGCCCCTGACAATGAAGTAAGCTTGCACCAGCCTTTGACAGATGGCCTCAGAAGGCATGCTGCAAGAGCCTGTGCGTTTCCCGCGAGCATTTTGGCCAGCCAGCAGGGCCCCCTTCAGCAATAGGGTTAGGGTTCAGGGTTTGGGGTTTAGGGTTTAGGGTCTTATAGGCTGTTTGGATTCAAAGCCATACCCGAAACCATCCTACTCCCCAAGCTGCCCTAAGTAGTTCTGGTCACTGTGCAATCCCAAGGGTTCTGTGGATAACCCTAAACCCTAAACCCTAAAGGTTCCTGCATTTCGACCTGGACAAAGATGGATCGCTACTCCGGGCCGCCCCGGCACAAGTTAAAGAATTTGGAGCCAGCTGCTGCTGAATCAAAAGCAAAACTCACGTGCAGGCTAGGATATTGAGCTGAGGACTGGGTTTAGGGCTTGGGGCAAAGTTTAGGGTTTAGGGTTTTAGGGTTTAGGGTTTGGGGTTTAGGGTTTAGGGTTTTGTGATCCAGGTAGCAGAGGCGGTGGAGCTCAGCTTTGATGGAACAGACACAAAGGCGATCTTGCAGGACGCCGGACGGGTAGCCCAGTTGCAAAAAAGGGTTTAGGTTTAGGGGTTGCATGTGTGTTTGCATTGTGGATAACACCACTGCACTTCTGAGTCCGAGCCCCAATTCGTTGCAACCTTCATTCCCTCTCCAGGACCTCTACTCGCTGATTCTTGGCTCAGCTCGGAACATGTTTTGGGACCTGTTGCGCTTGCTCTACGGCTAGGAACTGCAAGCGTCTCCCTTTTCAAGCAGAGTTCCCAGAACAGCCAAGGGGTCATGAAGAAACCGAAGCTGTTGACTGGCCGAGCTTCGTTGCAGAGGGCGGGCTGCGAGATGCTTTGGCTGAACCTGGCAAACTCTCTTGGCTCTCCAAAGGGGGCCTTACTTTTACGAACGAGTCACATGGAGGAATTAGGAAGAACCCACAGCAAGTCACGTAGCACGATGGACTGGTCACTGGCCAGCCCTGCACATTGGAACGTAGAATACCTCCAATCCACCCTGGAACTCCCGGGTTTCTTTGCGGCGCTAACCTCCTAAACCCTATACGGGGGGACAACCAAGGAAGGAAATCAACTCCCCTAATCGCCCTGAACTTATATTTCCCAGATCGAACCAAGAAACAACCAAGAACACGGATAAGAGCAACCCAGGGGGGAAGGAAAGGGGGAAGGAATCCACACCCTTACCAAACCCTAAGAACCCAGGCACTACTTTTTGAACTTGTGGCTTTCTGTTCAAGCCCATCTTGAGCCAAATACGATTACCGGGTTCATTAACCCTTCCAACTTCCAACACTAACTCCTTTCTACAATACCAATTGCAGCTCCGCACTCCCCCTGTCCTAGGATTTCCTAGGACACATTGGAGATGCAGATCTTTTGGCCAAAAACTGCCATTACGGCAGCAGCCAGCTGCTTGAAATGCAAATTGTGGTTTAACGTCTTCCAGGACGGAATTATAGCACATTGGCTAACCTACTACCCATAGAGAATCTTTTTTCACCTTGATCCTCTCATCACTGAAGACTCCTTGGCCTTCTTCACCACAAACCGTGGTCTTCGCTACGCGAAAAACTACTGACTCCTACTATCAGGGATTTCCATACCCTTAATAGTAACCACCACATTGTCAGCACATTGGCTGTTCCAGCGCACCGGTCTCCAGAAAGAGAAAAACCATCCCTTCATCCATACCATCCAATCACTTCTTTTTCCGATTGTTGGCAATCTTGAGGTGAAGTTGCAGCAGAATATACTCCAGGTCCGAAATCGTAAGAATAGGATCCTGTATGCCCCTTTGAATTGAGGATACCAATCCTTCTCTCTTTGCGTCCTCAATCGCCTGGCAAGATTGACCCAGCTCTTCATTCGCATTGGCAGACCCTGGTGCCTCCGCATCGGATGGACGATCCTTTTCCTCAGGATCGTGCACCATTACCACCTCTTCTTTTTTGGGACTCTGACTTTTCTCCTTCTTCTTTGTCTTTCCACCGACATTTGACTTTGTGCGCGTCTTCGAGGATTTTTCCACTGCAGAAGCCACCACATTGGATGTTGATCCACCCTTCTCAATGATCGCCGGCATCTTCTTCGGCTTTGGAACCATGAGAGTGTAAGGATCTTCGATAGCTGCAGCTTTCCTCTTCTTTTTTACCTTTTTCTTCTCCTCCTCAACGGCAACCTCCGTCTCCGAAGTCTCAACCACTTCTTTTTCGGCAGGAATATCTTTGCTGGACTCCCCTTCTAGGGACCTCTTTTTCCCTTTTTTGGGATCCTTTTCTTCTCCCAAATTGGCTCGCTCATACCATATCCTCAGGTCATTGACCCATTCTTCCACCTCCGCGAGCGAAACATCATACGACTTCACTACTTCGAGAAGTTCCAGCACTGACAACATTTCAGTGGTCCACGAAACCCATACTTGATCCATTTGGTCAGCATCTCCAGTGAACTTCAGGAGTTTGAACAATGGGTCCGCCTCTGCTCGAGCCAAATCTGGCTTGCCACCGGAGAGAAATGAAATCGCCTCCATCAACAGTTCCGTCATCTTGGTCTCTTCGTCATAAACCATAAAATCCTCCTCATCATCATCGAACTGTTCAGGAGGGATCTCCTTTTCTCCACCATTTGCACCAGACTTTCTCCTTGGACCATCCCTTGGGGGCGTCCTTGGAGACCTTGGCCTCTGTTTTTCCAACGGAACACCATGCTCGAAGACACACCTGTCACCAAATCGACACTTCCCAGACCGAGCAAACTGGACGCACCTCACACCAGTTGCATCATGCGAGAACCCACAATCCTTTCCAGCGAAACATTCTCTCCCTGCCACATAGTATTTGCACCAATATGAATGTAGCACCACATCATCTTCGGAATGGATGAATTTGCAGTCGTCACCAAATTTGCAGCGATCTTTCCCTTTGCCAAACCAATAGCAGAAACCCTTCTTCCTCTTCTCCAAGCGCTCTGCCTCATACCGGTCCATAGGGCGACTGTGCTCTACATGAACATTGCCATGTACCTGGGGACTGCTCCCTTCACCCGACGTGCTATCAGTATTTGGTGCTTGGAGTACAGCTGGAAAACCTGGCCTTGGTCCTACCACCTTCATGATCGGTTTTCCGCCAACTCCTGAGCCATGCTGAGACGATCCAAAAACATTGAACATCTTCATGAAGGCCTTCCTAGCGCCAATCTTCTGCACCCTTTTGATTGGACGTTTCATTGCTCCAACCTTGCATCCAGATGCATTCAAACGACGCAACCTTCTAAACCCAACTCTATGTCCCTTCTTCCAAAGAGCCATAAGAATTTTAGAGGCAGTGACATTCTCCACCTCTACCTTTTCCAATGATCCCTCACTTCCCGGAACAAACCCATCCATCTCTGAAGACCTTTCCATCTTTTTTGACACCACTTCGTCAAGGTAGTCTTCTGAAATCCAGGGAAAGTTCCCCTTAGAGGAAGGATTGTCATCATTGTTTGGTCCTTCACCAGGATATCCTTTGGTGCTGTCAAAGATCTTACCAGTAGTGCGGTCCTGCATAGAGAAATTCGAAGCCACGCGGGAGTACACTGACCACAAGAAAATCCTTGTGTCCGCCAGTCTGGATGACCCACTGGATTTCTCCTCTTCCGGAGAAACTTCTGGCGCTTTGCCCTTCCCTCCAGTGTCACCGCTTGTCTCACCTCCAGCATCTTCAACGGGAATAAGGGATTCATTGTTCCCTTGATCAAGCACCGCATCCTCTAGTCCAAGAACTTCCAGCATCGCTGTCGAAGGATCCACCTCCTCATCCGCATCGTCGTCCATCCTTCTCCAGAGAGCCTCCAATTGGTCCGCACAAGTCGCCGCTTGAAGAAACTCCATCAACCGAGCCCTCCCGCGCTGCCAGAGAAATTCTGAAACCATCACCGACCCTTGTGCTCCCAGATTCAGGAATGGGTGAACCATTTTGGCTACCCTCGCCATAAGTTCAATATGAACTTCCATGCCTGGACTGCGGCTCCAATCATAGGCAATTGCCTCCATAGCAGTACCAAACTTGTCCGTATTCTTGAATTCCCCTTCCAGACCAGGAGACAACAAGGTACCCATCACCGAAAGAGGGTAATTCCCCACCGCCGGCAAGCACGGGTTGTCATGGAACGAATGATGCAGGTCAGTATAATGTCCTTGATCTCTCCTTTGAAAAAGGAGTGTTCCAGTCCCTAGCTGGGCATTCATTTCATCCACTTGAACCATTTCAGCACATATCCTCTGTGCCAGGTGCGCCATTGCTGGCCAGACGGTACGATCGGTCAGACCGCGACGCATAACCCAATCAGTTGTTGGCGACTGGATCAGCGTTCCTGGATCATACACCATAACCATTGCACCGTCTCCCATTGACTGATCAGCATCGTCCTCCAGTGCCAGGTTCTCATCCTGTTCGCTTGCACCCTCGGATGACATGCTAATAACCAAATTTCGATCCATCTTATTGGACCCTTTTTGGCAATCTCTTTGCCCCATTGGCAACTTGCCAACTGCAACCTTCCAATAAATTCGAGTCAGAAGGCCTTTCACCAGCAATTGCTGAAGGTCACTCCTCACCGGACCACCATCCAACATCTTCGCATCATTACCACGGAGATCATTGCTCCCGCCTTCTCCTTCTTTTTGGTCGGTCTCCTCGCCAGAAATCTGTACTGCTCCTTCCGGCGCCGTCTCCTGTCCAGCCACTTCATGCCCAGGAAGAACTTGAGCGCTTTCAGAGACATTCACCTGTCCAGCAGCACCTTGCCCAGGTAAAACCTCATCCGTGGAGCCCACCGCCAGCGAACCAACCATAACTGAACCATCCCTTGTTCTTTTTTGAGACCGTTCAGCTCGACGAGAAGGTTGTGGTAGCGAAAAAACTTGAGAAGTCACTTCTTGGCGGGTCTCCCCCCGCGACGCTTTGTCGCGCCCTTCGCCAAGGTGAACCGATTTTTTCGGCCCAGCATTGGAGCCTGAAGAACCACTTTGTGGAACATTGCCACGACTCGCAGTTCTCCACGAATCCCTTTCTTGCAAAAAGATTTCCTTCAGGCGTTGTACCGCATTGGTCTCCTCCTCGCTTGAATCGCTTGAGGAAGCGGCATACGAGACCAAAGCCTCCGCCTGGTCATCATCATCCACCACATCTGCCCACGCTCTGCTGAATGGATACGACAAACCACCACGAGGTTTCACCGGCTCCAGTGGCTAAAAGCTCCCGATAGGAACCTCTCGGCATAGTTTTTGCACCGGAGTCTTCAGCTTCACGCACCTGAGTGAGGGTTCGCGCCGCCGCTCTTCCAGTCCCTTTGTTCCCAGAAGATTGTTGTACCCGTACAGATGCATCAGACGGAACTGCCTTTTCCGGTCCTCCCGGTCGATATCGGACCTCACCCACCAATTGCAGAATTTTGCATGCGGTCACTTTGTTGATCCCTTTGTCAACCAAATCTTCCACAAAGATGAACTCTTGCAAGTCCGACACATTGGTCACACCAAGCGTAATCATCACCTCACTTACATGAGGGGTATACACCCACAGGTGTGCGTTGCGAGCCATCCAATTTTCAATCGGCTCCTCCGGATTGTGAAGCTGAGTACTAGTGGATGCAGCCACCGAATTCTTTTGCTCATCAGCTTCTACTTCATCCAGAATACCTTTTTCACCATCTTTTTGTGACACATTGGTCATTTGCA